TTTCCTTAAAGCAGGTTGAACTGTGTGGGGTAGAGGAGGATGCGTGGTGGGGTCTTCCTCAGCTTTTCCCCAGCTATGGAGTTCCTTCCTGGGGAAGTAAAAGGATGATGGGGTATGTGGGCAACCACTGCTCAGAGGCTCAGGGCAAATGGGGGTGGCCAAGGACAGGGGTGGCAGGACTCTTCAGGGGATTCCTGTGCTGTAAAGTGTTTCAGAGAGGAGCTGGAACTGCTGTGGGGTACACGTCGTGGAGAAGCAGCTGCAGAGTCAGGCACTGGGGCTGGAACAAAGGCAGAGGCTCAAGCCCCAGCTGCAGCACAGGACGTGTGATGAATTAATCGGGGCATGAGCTGGCAGCATTGTGYGATCACAGGCTGGCAGGGGGTCGAAGCTGGATCAGGGCTCCTCACCTTGGCACCAGCTTCCTGTTGTTTGCCATAACTCCCAGAGCTGGCAGTGAGAGCCAGGCAGCTGCACATGTGCTGCAGCCTCTCTGGGCAGGGATGCAGCTGAGCACAGGGGATTAAAACCTCTTGTGCTGCAGGAGCCCTGCACTCTGGAGGCTGACTGCCCTGATGCCCTCCTGCAGCCCCCACAGCCCTGGTACTGCTCATCTAGCACATGGCTCCTGGGCCGCGTCTCCATCTCCAGACAAATCCTCCTGCAGCCACTGGTGCCCAGGACCCAGAGGCAAGGTCCCATCCAGCCCACGGGGCCAGGGCAGTGTAGCTCTCAGGGAGTTCCCACCAGCACAAGGTCATGCCCAGATAAGCCCGTTCCTTAACTTGTGCTAAGTGTGCTTTAGTCACAGTAGTTACTAAGTAGGCAGCTCCTGTCGGGTCACACTGTTTGTTGGCTACACTGCTTATCTCTTTACTTTGTTGGGCTTTGGGAACATGTTAATGCAAGCCATGGCTCTGTGCTTTGCCCTGGCACTGATGGCCTTGCTCTGCTGGGGGAGCTGCCTTGTGGAGAGGATCAGGAAATACTTCTCCCTCTCCTTACCCAGGACTGATGCAGGTGGCTTTATTGTGCAGGCTCCTGTGTGTGAGGTTCCTGCTTACACTTACACGGGCTGCTTAATACTAATTAACAACTGGGGGTTTATGGCAGTAATTTACAGTCTCTGCAGGCAGTTTCTCTCAAGTGAGAGGGCAAGATCTCTATTTGGGGAAGAAGTGAACTATTCAGAAAAGTGGACCACCACAGGTGAGGGTATCCAACACCTGAGAGAATTAAGCAGTGCTGAAGGTCATCTACAAAAGGATGTAGAAAAGGATGACATCTCCAAAGATCCAGAGGACATCCTGTGCACAGGCTGTGTGAAGGAAGATAATTTAGAGTGCCCCAGTGTCATTCTGACAGCTTGGCAGCAATGTATTGTCCAGATATGAAAACACCAGCTGTGGAGAAAACATCTTCTTGGCTCCAGAACTTTGAAGAAATGCCTGTCCATCCTCATCGCTGTATGCTGGTGTCTTGGCTGTCAGAGGCAAGAAGTCAGTCTCCTCCTGCCCTGGTCAGAGGGGGAGTGAGCCTCAGGTGCTTGTGGTGCACTCTGGTTCTTCTTGCCTGACTAGGGGAGGACAAGCAGTGGAATGGTGAACCCAACTTTAAGCTGGAAGCCCATGTATGAGATGTGAAAGGGAAGAGAGCTGTTAAGAGGGGAAAATCCTAAGAAGGCTGCCAATGTAATTGCTGTAGAAACGCAAGAAGGCAACCATCTTTTAGAGCAACCACTCTGAGTGCTTAAGCCCTGCTTCCCAAGAAGAGGCTGGACATCTCCCACTGGTCGGAAGTAGAGAATAAATCCTTTGCTTTCWTTAGTTTCTGCTTGCAGCTTTTGCTTTTGCTTTATTGAACTGCCTTTATCTTGACCCACAAGTTCTTCTCTATCTTACTTTCTCCTTGCCCTATCCTGCTGAGGAGGAGAGTCACAGAGCAGCTTGGTGGGTGCCTGATGTCTACCACAGATGCCAAACAGGTTGCTGTCCAGCTCAGCAAGGCAACCAGGCTGCACAGCCCCTGGGAGCCAAAATAGATCAGGCAGATCCCTGCTCAGGTGGGCAAGTTCTCCAACAGCTGCCAGTGTCCATGGATTACCCTGGAGGTACATGGGGGCCCCTCGAGTACGAGCAYGGTCAGCTGGGGTCACTGGCCATGTGGCGTCTTTGGCTGAGCTGCAGGGACATGCTGCCCTCCCTAAACCCTGCAGGCAGCATCCCCTGAGGATTAGGTGTTTGCCGGGCCTGACAGGGGTGGTGCAGGAAGGCAGACCATGGCACAGTGCTGCAGCAGAGTGTGCCYGTGTTGCCTTGGCAGCCTCTATCATGGCGGCTCTCATTCAGGATCTGGGCTTACCCCTTGAAAACTAAATCAGATCCCTAATCAATAAATACTGGCAAATAACGGGATTGAACAGCCGTCAGGCAAAGGGAACTTGGTAGGGGCAAGTGTGCCATGTTCAGAGGCTCACTCCAGCAATGCATGGTCCTGACAGGGCTGGCATGGGGACCTGGACTGGTTTGGAGGGATCTCCCTGTGGGCTGTCCGGGCTGGGTCTGCCACGGGTACCAGCAGCATCCTGCACTTCTGGCCCTGGTGGGTACAYTGGTGGCTCAAAGGCACACTCCAGGAGCTCCCCCATTTTCCCTGGGCTCCCCTAGTCCCTGACTGCCAACACCCTTGACCTTGGGCCCTTGTGCTGGCCACCCCCCTCCTCGCCCCCCTAGGCTTCCCATGTTCCCCATCTCTTCTGACAGATCACCGAGGCTGGTATTAATATAATCCCTGGCTTAATTTAAATCCTCCTCCCGTGTCATGCTTTTCTGGGGGAAGGAGGGCATTGATGCATTTTTGTGGCATCCACTTAGCCCTGAAGCTGGGACAGGATTCAGATGGCCAAAAGCCCTGGGTATCCACACTAAAGGTCCCTGCTGTTGCCCCCCGGGGAAGGTGTCCAGGGCATGTTGCAGCCTCAGTGAGATATGTCCTCAAGTTTCAAAGGAGTATCTCAGTGGCACCAGACGCTGTTAGGAAGAAGAGTTGATGATGCCAGCCACAAGGGAACACACAAGGGGCTGCTGCTCCCCAAAACCCCTCTGCAGCCCCTTGGGGGTTTGGTTTCCCCCTCCCTCTCCAGTCACCCCTCACTGTCTGGGCCAGGCTGGTGTGACCTTACTACTATTTTCTCCTTCAACTCTCTGTAATGTTTGTATTTTCTGCTCTTCTGCAGAAACCTCCTTTAAGACATTCTCACTCCTGGTCCCGTGGGTGATGGTCGGGGTGGGGGAGTCTCACTSTTTTGGGCAGCTGTCACTGAAGTGACAAAGTGGGGATGGGAGACTATGAGAGGAGTGACAGGGGCAGGGAGTGAGGGGGCACAGGCAGGACTGTGAGGGGAGTGACAGGGGAGGGCGGTAAGGGGCTGTGGTGGGACATGGTGAAGAGACGGGAGGTCGGAGAGTGACAGGGACTGGCACTGAGGGGGCTCCAGGGGACAGGGGACATGTGGGGACTGTGAGGAGAGCGACAGAAGGGACTGTGAGGGAGGTGCCGGGGGCGGGCAGTGCGGGGCTGCGGGGCACAGGGCGGACATGCAGAGACTGTGGGGGGAATGGCGGGGAGAGTGTGAGGGGCTGCGGGGCGACACGCGGGACTGTTTGGCGGAATGACAGGACCGGCGCTGAGGGGCTTTGGGGCACAGGTGGACACTGAGGGGATGGAAGATCGCGGAGTGACTGGGCGGGCAGCGAGAGGGCACAGCGGGGACTGTGAGGGGAACGAGGGGGGAGTGTGAGGGGCTGAGGAGGCACAGGGGGATTGTGAGGGGAGTGACGGGGAAGTGTGAGGGGCTGAGAAGGTACAGGTGGGATTGTGAGGGGAGTGACGGAGGGAGCGTGAGGGGCTGAGGAGGCACAGGGGGATTGT